CCCGGCAGCATAAATGAGGTCCATTGTTTGGCCAAATGGAACGAACATGCCAACAAACCCGGTCATGACTAGGACTAATGAGTATAAGACCAAGGTAGTTTGCATTATTACGTACCGAGCACCAGAAGACCGCCAAACAGATATGGTCCCATCCCTGAAAAGTCGTATTTGCTCTGAAGAGTAAAGAGGGTGAGACCAAGGAACACGCCAAGCGTGATCAACCTGGAATACAACGGTGAGGCGACGTTGCAACACCATAAAGTTCAACTTACATGGCTTGAAGAACGATCGTCGACTCATAGAACGAGACGATGAGACCAAGGGTGAGAGACTCCAAGACCGTAAAGCTTGCCAAAAGGATGTAGTTGGTGGGGTGAGAGAGGCGCTTCCACCACAACAGAACAAGGTTGACGAGGGAGCCAAACAACGGAACAAAGACCGCCCATCGACTGGGAATATTATTAGTGGGGGTTTGACTAAATACGAGCGACCTACTGTGCTTGGACCCATCCAACGGCGCTATCGCTCGAAGCGAGCTTGGCCACGATACAAGTCCCGAGCTAGCAGTCGATCAAATATTATTGACGTTGCTGACATTAATGTGAGGTAATAAACCCACTATTTGAGCAAAAAGGATAGAGTAAACCTGCCACAAAATCAGAACATGGGTTACCCGCAGTAATAGCCACATACCTTGCGTACGAACGCCTGTCGAATTTCGGGCGCGGACTCGTAGACAGTGACCCCGTACCTGCAAACGACGTCAAAAAAAGCTCAATGAAACTAATAGTTACACACTTGAAGTCATCGGGCAGATCGTTGTCGTCACCAAAGGCGTTTACGCCACGAGAGGACTGGCCGCGAGTTTCACCGAGCAAAGGATCCGATGCCTGAGCAGACCCATACTGGTTGTACTTCTGAGGAGACTGGGGAACAGGTTGGTAGCTTGGAGGGGCTTGAGGATAGTTCGACATGGTGGTTTGATGTGGGGGTGATGGACGATGGAAGACTGTTCTGGCAAACCTCACGTGAGTATTTTCAAATTCACCCCGCGTTCATTCGGAAATTGCGGTTGCGTCCTGTTCTCGGTTGAAGTGTACTAGCAGACCCCTAGATTTTATTTAGGTATAGACACGTACGAGTCTGCAAGGTGTATTATATAGTTGTCTTGGGGTAGTAAAAATAATGCCCTCACCCTGGATCGAACAGAGGACCTCATCATGTGCAAATCACACATACTAGTGATGCGCTCTACCACTGAGCTATAAGGGCTTAATCAGAGGCAAAATTTATTATATACAACTAGTCTCAGTCAACCCGCTCCCGTTGTCGAAGCGACCACTAGTATCAGGCTGTTTTAAACACGGTACTGCCCCTCCCAGGCTGAATGTATGCGCATCCCGGTGGAGAGTTTCACGGTTTGCTACTTGCCAAGGTGAATTGTTGGCCACAGATCCAACCCAAGGGCACCCCTCGCCCTACCCAAACCCTTCGACGACCCAAGAAGTTCAAGCATTTCGACGCTAAAATGTTCGTGTGAGCATAAAATAAACTATGAACAGAAACAAAACTACATGTGACAGTGTGATAAACATAGCGATATAAACAAGAGCAAGTAAATGTTCAGATATGTTTCAGTCATTGGCACAAGCATCCGCGAATCCGTCAACCACAGCGGCCTCCTTCTCCCGCTCTGCCGCACGCTTGACTCGTTCGACATCGCGCGCGGATCGTTTCAATTCACGATCCCAGAGAGCCATAGCTTCTTCTTCCTTGACCCCTGCAGTAGCTCCAGCTCCCGCGCTACCAAGTCCACGAAGAATGTCTTCTTCCCTGATCCCTTCGGCTAAACCGACAAGTGGTTCGGTAGAAAGTAGAGTAGCCTTTCGCCGACTGGGCGTCGCTTGTCCAACAGTCCCTATGATCTTAATAAGCCCCCCGGTTTCCAGCACTCCGAGAAGGTCCTGGAACTCGCTCCTCGATACCGGGGCAAAGGCACCGTCAGACGTAAGAATAGCAATGTAAGCAGCGTGAAGCGCCGACGCTTCGTAGAGTTCCGATTCACCTGCCCGAGCACGCTTGCTTGGGGATGTTTGTTGGGCCGCACGACCCGTCCGGCTTGGCGTTCGTGGAGGAACTTTGCTGGGTGTGCGAGTCAAACTACTGACCGACTTGACGGGAAGTATGACTAGCCCGGCTGCCGCGCGGCGTCGAGCGACAAGAATAGAGATCATAACGAGCCGGGCCTGCATTCCCAGTCCACGCGCTGTACCAACGGCTTGTCCTCCAGCGAGCCCATCTCGTCCACGCAATGCGTCCAAGACATGCTTCATAGTAGCTACCCCAGGGTTCCCAGCGGGATTCGGAACAGCAGGAGTGGCCAGAACCTTGGATGGCGTTGACGGGGCGAATGGGTTGACCTCCCGTTCTGCTAGTTCAATGGTCCGTCTTACTGCGTCCAGCGCAGCTCGAAGGTCACCAGTTTGAGTGGAAACCTTTTTCGATAGGAAAGTAAGGGCCGTGGGAGCGATAACTAATGGTGCACCAGTTACACGAGTTGTCGAAGTATCACCACTAGGAGTCGATTCCAAAGTCGATAGCCGCCCTTGAACAATCTTGACAATATCTTCGGCAACATATGGAGAGATGTCAAGAGTGAGGAAGCTATTTGTTGCCGCCAACGGCCGAGAGTCGGCGGCACCAAGAGTGAGGGTGTTGGAAATTCCGATAATACGTAGACAGGTGGGAATGGCATTGGCCAAATCAAAGATGGATGACAGAGCTGAAGGAGTTCTAAGCACGAAATCCAGTTCGTCAAGCACAACCACACTGGCGGGAACCTAAGTACTCTCTCCATCCTCAAGAATAGCCACTTACCATTTAATATTCTGGCTCAATAATGCGCTTTCAAACTTCTTCTTTTCCGAGCCAGCGCTCCCTTTGCCCTTGGGAAGCGGGAAGCCTCCCTCTTCGAGGACTCGAGCCCAAACCGAGCTTTCCTCCTTGAATCCAGTGCAATTAATGTATATTCCTTTAACTTGATCCTTTGCAACGGTCCGCAAAACTTCGCTAACAAGCGCAGTCTTGCCAGTTCCAGGAGCTCCGGAGATGTAAGCAGCTAGCTTGTCAGTTGGGCCATGCGGCGTTCCGGCGACGAATGGGGCAAGGAAATTTGTCAAAATGGCTCGCTCCTTATCACGACCGATAACCTCTCCAATACCAGGGCGAAGTAAAGCTCGAGCTCGCGCATGGAGACTCAAGACAGTAACAGGCGGAGTGGCGGGAGGGGTGAGTTGCAAGCGAGAAACGAGTGATGGAAGTCGGGGAGCAGAGGTAGGATTAGATGCCTTCTTGGCCGGTGACTTGTTGGGAGTTTTAGCTTCCTTGGGCGGCGTCTTGACGGGTGAAAGAAGTCGGACGGCGCGTTTCGCTGAATATTTATGTGATGAGTGCTCTGAGAGCATAAACTGGAGAATCAGCTTACTAGATTGTTGAAGAGCGGCAATGGTCTCCCGATCACTGGTCTCGTCATCTTCAGCCTCTTCGACAATATCCACCTCCTTGCGAGCGCGAGCGCGAGCACGGGCCTTGGATTCAGACGGTTTGGCTGCAGATGGAGGCTGGTTCTCTTTTCCAGCTACGACAGGGCTAGCGGCGACACGAGTACGTTTGTATGCAGGAGAGGCAGTAGCAGGATCTGGCTTTCGTGCCGAGGATTTAGGCTGTGGTGTTGGTGACGACGCACGAGGAGTGCGGGGCGCCCTGGCTCTCTTTCCCAGGCTGGCAGACATGTTTAGCTGTGTGAATTGTTTTTGTTATTGGTGCTGTTTATATAGTTCAGAGTGTAAGTCGAGAGTCGAGCACAACGAGAATGTGTTGCTAGGTGCTCGTCAGTGTGGATAACAGAACCTGACGGAAGGTTGATCAAAATCGCCCCTGACTGTTACGCGCCAACAACTCCACGTGACCGCGAGGCCCGCGCGTTTCATTTGATCCAAGTACATGCATACATTGAACAACAACCTATCAAGAGTGGGACCATTTTGGCTCGCGCTTATCAGCAAAAGCCGACATTCCTGGAAAGAACAATCAACACGTTGAACAATCATAACACCTGAGGAGTAAAAGGGGCACACAACACTATGGCCTACGACGCTCTTTGTGCCAGGGCGTTGGGCCAGCAATCATGGCCAGCACACCCCACGAAAAAGGGTTGAGGAGTTGCAAGATTCCCCCGCTAAAGGCATATCGCAGACCGAGAGCCTCTCTGCGCGCATGGACCATTGAATCATACCACATACCCTCTTTTTGGTCCTGCGTGGCAAACAAACTCTGGAAGATCCTTCGTTCAAAATGTAATCCATCCTTCAGCGAGAGCTCATATGCTAGCGTCAACAGATGGTTAGTATATAGCAATCGGAATCGCAAGCCACTTTGACTTACCCGCATTCACACTCTCCTTGCCAGCCTGCACGGCAACTCTACCAAATCCAGCAATGGTGCTAGCCATTGAGACTGCCTCCTCAACTACATCACCTTCGACAACTCTGGAGACCAGACCCCATTTCTCGGCTTCCTGGGCGCTAATCATGCGGCCAGTGAGCACTAGCTCCATCGCTCGCGATTTGCCGATGGCATGGGTCAATCGCTGGGTACCACCAGCCCCCGGAATGACGCCAAGCTTGATTTCGGGTTGTCCAAATCGTGCGCTAGGAGACGCAAGGATGATATCACACATCATCGCAAGTTCACATCCACCACCGAGCTACATTTCAATTAATTGAGCCGCATATAAAATCCAACCAAGGCCTATCACTTACCGCAAATCCGCTAACGGCCGCAATCACCGGCTTGCGGAACGAAGTGATTCTTGTCCAGTCTCCGAGAAAGTTGTTCTTGTACACATCGGTGACTGATGATGCTAATGAGTCGAAATGAGCAGTCGAGTTATTAAGAATAGCATACACTTTTTATCTTTCATCTCCTTGATGTCCGCGCCGGCTGTAACAGAAATGGTAAAGCCAATTTCGATGCACCAAAAATATAATATTACCTGCAAATGCCTTTTCGCTGCCTGTCAGAACCAACGCACCAATTTCTTCATCCTTCTCAACCCGCTCCAGCACCTCGTTTATCTCATCGAAGAGTGGGGTGCTAAGTGCGTTCAGAGCATTAGGGCGGTTGAGCGTCAGTAGAGTCACATTAGGCTTTGGTCGTGAAACCAAAAGGTTTTGATATTCCTTCGACAATGGACGGGCAGACGCAAACCCTCGACGAGAGATCCCCATAACCCCGCTCGACAACCCCGTAACCCGAATCGAGAACATTGTTTTGATATATATTCGTTTCGCGAGCGGGCAATAGGGATAATTGAAGTGTGCAACGCGGACTGGGATACGGCGCACCTCACGCACGGGATTCAATGATCCGAGCCGCACCGAGAGTTAGCGCTGGGCGGTTGGCTCTAGCAACATGTGAAACCTGCGTGCTTGAGTCCTGGGCGGCATGGCTGGGCTTGGAACCCTTGAATGGTGTATATCGATGACAGGACAATAGTGCCACTACACATGGTATGCGCATAACCATGACTGGGGATCTTCACCAGTCACGGCGTTATTATCCCACCCACAGGAAAGTTAGGCCATTTCCCCGGTGCCAAGTGATCTGGTAGTAGGCGATACTGTATTTTGCCTTCGCATATGTATCATGAAATTTATACTTGGTGAGGTGAGCCAACACATTTCCAAGTGTGCCAGCTGGAGCGTCTTCAGTTGGCCAACACGATCGTATTCCAGAAGCACATCGAACTTGACAAACAATAAATATTATGCCATGTCTTCAGGGTTCCTCAGCAACCCAGGACCGGACGGATCGCCCCCTTGCTGGTCAATCTCAAGTTACCTCACCCAACGCTAAATCGACATCGGTCGCCCACCTAAGCAGCTTACATTCAACCACGCGAGGGTTATCTAAGCCCAGGAACGGACGTTGCAGAAGATACCGACAATCATCTCATTTTAAGTAATGTGCAAGATCGATCAAAGGCAATATAACGCTCGCGGCTTATGCATCCAGCGTACCAGTAACGAGTACAAATACTTAGTATGAGCAATGAAGCATAACAGGACAAGTTAAACAGAAGAAACCAACTCGCAGGAAATTTTAAGCTCGACGCAAACGGCCTGCACACGAAAGTGCAAAGCCAATGTCCAAATAGCTCGCAGAACAACAAACCGCCATCACGCCCAAATGAACGATGAACGTTCACCATT